ACATTGGGAATGGGGCTGGGAATGATCCCATTGGGAATGGGGGAATGGGAATGGTCCCATTGGGAATGGGGGAATGGGAATCATCCCATTGGGAATGGGGCTGGGAATGGGAATGGTCCCATTGGGAATGGGGCTGGGAATGGTCCCATTGGGAATGGGGGAATGGGAATGGTCCCATTGGGAATGGGGCTGGGAATGGGAATGGTCCCATTGGGAATGGGGCTGGGAATGGGAATGATCCCATTGGGAATGGGGCTGGGAATGATCCCATTGGGAATGGGGGAATGGGAATGGTCCCATTGGGAATGGGGCTGGGAATGGGAATGGTCCCATTGGGAATGGGGCTGGGAATGGGAATGATCCCATTGGGAATGGGGCTGGGAATCATCCCATTGGGAATGGCGGAATGGGAATCATCCCATTGGGAATGGGGCTGGGAATGGGAATGGTCCCATTGGGAATGGGGCTGGGAATGGGAATGATCCCATTGGGAATGGGGCTGGGAATGATCCCATTGGGAATGGCGCTGGGAATGATCCCATTGGGAATGGGGCTGGGAATCATCCCATTGGGAATGGGGGAGATGGGAATCATCCCATTGGGAATGGGGCTGGGAATGATCCCATTGGGAATGGGGCTGGGAATCATCCCATTGGGAATTGTTCCCATTGACATTGGGAAGGGTTCCCATTGGGAATTGCCCCATTGAACTGGGAAGGGTTCCCATTGGGAATTGCCCCCAGTGGCACTGGGAATCATTCCCCATTGTCACTGGGTATGGCTCCCATTGGGAATTGTTCCCACTGGGAATAGCTCCCGTTATTGTTGGGAATCATTGCTGGGGGACACTTCCATGGAATCCCTTTGGGAATCCCTTTGGGAACCATTCCCATTGGAACTGGGAACCATTCCCGGTGTTACAGGGATGGAATCCATGGGATCGCATTGGGAATCCCTTTGGGAACCATTCCCATTGGTACCAGGAACCATTCCCATTGGTGCTGGGAGTCATTCCTGGTGTTACTGGGATGGAATCCATGGAATCCCTTTGGGAATCCCTTTGGGAACCATTCCCATTGGTGCTGGGAACCATTCCCATTGGTGCTGGGAAGCATTCCCATTGGTACTGGGAACCATTCCCATTGGTGCTGGGAACCATTCCCATTGGAACCAGGAACCATTCCCATTGGTGCTGGGAATCATTCCTGGCGTTGCTGGGATGGAATCCATGGAATCCCTTTGGGAACCATTCCCATTGGTGCTGGGAACTGTTCCCATTGGTGCTGGGATGGATTCCATGGGATCCCATTGGGAATCCCTGTGGGAACCATTCCCATTGGTACTGGGAACCATTCCCATTGGTGCTGGGAATCATTCCTGGCGTTGCTGGGATGGAATCCATGGAATCCCTTTGGGAATCCCTTTGGGAACCATTCCCATTGGAACCAGGAACCATTCCCATTGGTGCTGGGAACCATTCCCATTGGAACCAGGAACCATTCCCATTGGTGCTGGGAATCATTCCCATTGGTGCTGGGATGGAATCCATGGAATCCCTTTGGGAATCCCTTTGGGAACCATTCCCATTGGTACTGGGATGGGATCCATGGAATCCCATTGGGAATCCCTTTGGGAATCATTCCCATTGGTGCTGGGAACCATTCCCATTGGCACCAGGAACCATTCCCAGTGTTACTGGGCTGGATTCCATGGGGTCCCATAGGGAATGCCCCTTCTCTCCCTGCAGATGACGCCCATGGCGCAGCCCCGACGAGGACCCTCCCGCTCCGGCCCCCCCCATCCCAACCCCCCCTCACCCCATGGGGATACCGAGGCCTCCGCTGCCCCCCCGGGGCTTCACTGCCAGGGGCGGGGCCCCCTGCGCCCGTCCCGGGGGGCGGGGGGGAGCGGGGGGGCGTGGCCGGAAGCGGCCGGGGACCACGCCCAATCGGTGCGGGGGGTGTGGGAGGAGCTTCAGCTGCGGCTCCGCCTTCCTGGAGCAGCACCGGAAGCACGGGCGGGAGCGGAGCCACGTGGGGGAGCGGAGGGGACCAATGGGAGCCGACTGCAGAGCGGGGAGGTGGTGATGGAGGGAGCCAGGGGGGATCCATGGGGCTGGAATCCCGTTGGGAATGGAGCCAAGGGGGGTTCTGCTGCTCCCATGTGGAGCTGGATGCCTGGGGTAAAGGGGAATCCAATGGGAATGAACTGGAGCTCATGGATGTGGAGCTGGAGGTGGCTCCCAATGGGATCCATGGGGCTGGAATCCCGTTGGGAATGGACCCAAGGGGGGGTTCTGCTGCTCCCATGTGCAATTGGATGCCTGGGATAAGGGATAATCCATTGGGAATGAGATGGACCTCATGGACATGGAGGTGGAGGTGGCTCCCGATGGATCCAGGGGTGTCCAGATGGGATCCATGGGGTTCCATGGGGCTGGAATCCCATTGGGAATGGAGCCAAGGGGGGTTCTGATGCTTCCCTGTGGAACTGGATGCCTGGGGTAAAGGGGAATCCAATGGGAATGAACTGGAGCTCATGGACATGGAGCTGGATGGAGCCAGGGGGGGCCAGATGGGATCCATGGGGCTGGAATCCCTTTGGGAATGGACTCAAGGGGGGGTTCTGCTGCTTCCCTGTGGAACTGGATGCCTGGGATAAAGGGGGATCCAATGGGAATGAACTGGAGTTCATGGACATGGAACTGGAGGTGGCTCCCAATGGGATCCATGGGGCTGGAATCCCGTTGGGAATGGAGCCAAGGGGAGTTCTGATGCTCCCATGTGGAACTGGATGCCTGGGGTAAAGGGGGATCCAATGGGAATGAACTGGAGCTCATGGACATGGAGCTGGATGGAGCCAGGGGGGGCCAGATGGGATCCATGGGGCTGGAATCCCTTTGGGAATGGACTCAAGGGGGGGTTCTGCTGCTTCCCTGTGGAACTGGATGCCTGGGATAAAGGGGAATCCAATGGGAATGAACTGGAGTCCATGGATGTGGAGCTGGATGGATCCAGGGGGCTCCAGGGGGGATCCATGGGGCTGGAATCCCATTGGGAATGGACCCAAGGGGGGGTTCTGCTGCTTCCCAGTGGAACTGGATGCCTGGGACAAAGGGGGATCCAATGGGAATGAGATGGAGCTCATGGACGTGGAACTGGAGTTAATTCTGCATGGATCCAAGAGGTTCTGGATGGGATCCAATGGGTTCCATGGGGCTGGAATCCCATTGGGAATGGAGCCAAGGGGGGGTTCTGCTGCTCCCATGTGGAACCGGATGCCTGGGACAAAGGGGGATCCATTGGGAATGAGATGGAGCTCATGGACATGGAGCTGGAGGTGGCTCCCGATGGATCCAGGGGTGTCCAGATGGGATCCATGGGGTTCCATGGGGCTGGAATCCCGTTGGGAATGGACCCAAGGGGGGGTTCTGCTGCTTCCATGTGGAACTGGATGCCTGGGATAGAACGGAATCCAATGGGAATGAACTGGAGCTGATGGACATGGAGCTGGAGGTGGCTCCCGATGGATACAGGGGGGTCCAGATGGGATCCAAGGGGTTCCATGGGGCTGGAATCCCATTGGGAATGGAGCCAAGGGGGCTTCTGCTGCTCTCATATGGAACTGGATGCCTGGGGTAAAGAGGGATCCAATGGGAATGAACTGGAGCTCATGGACATGGAGCTGGAAGTGGCGCCCGATGGATCCAGGGGGGTCCAGATGGGATCCAAGGGGTTCCATGGGGCTGGAATCCCGTTGGGAATGGACCCAAGGGGGGTTCTGATGCTTCCCTGTGGAACTGGATGCCTGGGGTAAAGGGGGATCCAATGGGAATGAGATGGAGCTCATGGACATGGAGCTGGACGTGGCTCCTGATGGATCCAGGGGGCTGGAATCCCGTTGGGAATGGACCCAAGGGGGGTTCTGCTGCTTCCATGTGGAACTGGATGCCTGGGGTAAAGGATAATCCATTGGGAATGAACTGGAGCTCATGGATGTGGAGCTGGATGGATCCAGGGGGCTCCAGATGGGATCCATGGGGCTGGAATCCCATTGGGAATGGAGCCAAGGGGGGGTTCTGCTGCTTCCATGTGGAACCGGATGCCTGGGATAAAGGGGGATCCAATGGGAATGAACTGGAGCTCATGGACATGGAGCTGGAGTTAGTTCTGCATGGATCCAAGAGGTTCTGGATGGGATCCAATGGGTTCCATGGGGCTGGAATCCCGTTGGGAATGGACCCAAGGGGGGTTCTGCTGCTCCCCCGTGGAACTGGATCCCATGGGAATTCCATGGCTGTATCCTCAATGCAAGAAGCTTTGGGATCCCATAAACCCCATTCGCATCCCGGTCACATCCATGGCCGTGGGGCTGGGGGTGCCTGGGCAATGGGGTCGGGATGGGGGGGAAAGAGCTTGGGAAGAGTGGGGATTGTGCCCTGGGATGAGCACAGGGAGCATCCCCAGGGAGCATCCCCATGGCGCAGTAAAGGCTTCTCCAGCCTGGATCCACACGTCTGGAATTGTTGCCCCCCCATCATCAAAAGGGTCCCAAATCCCCAACAATTAAACCCAAATCCCAACAATTCCCGTCAAATTCCAACAATTCCCACCCAAATTCCATCCAATTCCCCCCCCAAATTCCCCAATTCCCAACAATTCCACCCCAAATCCCAATAATTTTACCCAAATCCCAACAATTCCCCCAATTTCCCCAATTCCCACCCAAATTCCTCAATACCAACCCAAATCCCAATAATTTTACCCAAATCCGAACAATTTCCGCCAAATTCCCCAACTCCCATCGAATTCCAACCATTCCCCCCAATTTCCCTAAATCCCAACCAGATTCCACCAATTCCACCCAAATGCCCCAATTTCCCCCAAATTCCCCAATTCCCACCCAAATTCCCCAGTTCCCCCCCAATTCCCACCCAAATGCCCTAATTCACACCCAGATTCCACCAATTGCCACCCAAATTCCCCAATTCCCACCCAAATCCCAACAATTTCACCCCAAATCCCAATAATTTTACCCAAATCCGCACAATTCCCCAATTCCCATCAAATCCCAATAATTCCCCCCCAATTCCCACCCAATTCCCACCAATTCCCCCCAATTTCCCCAATTCCCACCCAAATCTCAAGGATTACACCCAAATTCCCCAATTCCCACCCCAATTCCCCCCAAATTCCCCAATTCCCACCCAAATCCCAACAATTCCACCCCAAATCCCAATAATTTTACCCAAATCCGAACAATTCCCCCCAAATTCCCCAATTCCCATCGAATTCTAACAATTCCCACCCAAATTCCATCCAATTCCCACCCAAATTCCCCAGTTCCCACCCACATCCCACCAACTCCAGCCCAAATCCGAACAATTCCACCCCAAATCCCAATAATTTTACCCAAATCCGAACAATTCCCCCCAAATTCCCATCAAATCCCAATAATTCCCTCCCAATTCCCCCCCAATTCCCACCAATTCCCCCCCAATTTCCCCAATTCCCCCCACATTTTCCTCGGGTTCGGTGTCTTTGGGCTGTTTTGGGACTGGGCTTTGGGGTGGTTTTGGCGTTTGGGGCTATTTTGGGGCTGTTTCAGGCTGCTTTGGGCCGGTTTGGGCCATTTGGGGCTCATTTAGGGCTGGTTTCGGGTTAATTTGGGATATTTGGGGCTATTTTGGGTTATTTGGGGTTGTTTTGGGGTATTTGGGGCTAATTGGGATATTTGGGGTTAATTTGGGATATTTGGGGCTATTTTGGGTTATTTGGGGTTGTTTTGGGGTATTTGGGGCTAATTGGGATATTTGGGGTTAATTTTGGGTATTTGGGGCTATTTTGGTGGCTTGGGGTTATTTGGGGCTATGTGGGGTAATTTGGGATATTTGGGGCTAATTTGGGATATTTGGGGTTACTTGGGGTTATTTTTGGCTGTTTTGGTGTATTTGGGGCTATTTGTGGTTATTTGGGGCCAGTTTTGGGCTATTTGGGGCTGGTTTGGGTTATTTTGGGATGTTCAGGGCTATTCTGGGTCATTTTTGGTCCGGTTTGGTCCATTTGGGGCTGGTTTGGGGTGATTTTGTGCTGTTTTGGGCCATTCAGGGCAATTTGGGGCTGTTTGGGCTCTGTTTTGGGCTATTTTGGACCGGTTTGGGTCTGCTTTGGGCTTTTTGGGGCTATTTTGTGCTATTTTGGGCAAATTCGGGGTGATTTGGGGCCCGTTTGGGGCTATTTTGGGCTTTTGGGGTCGTTTTGGGCTGTTTCGGGCCATTTTGGGGCCATTTTGTGCCATTTGGGGATGTTTGGGGGCCGTTTGGGGCTATTTTGGGGTCATTTGGGGCCAGTTTGGGTTATTTTGGGGTTGTCTTGGGCCATTTTGGAGTGTTTGGGGCTATTTTGGGGTCATTTGGGGCTATTTTGGGGTCGTTTGCGGCCAGTTTGGGGACGTTTTGCGCTATTTGGGGGTTGTTTTGGGCCGTTTCGGGGTCATTTTGGGCTGTTTTGGGGTGGTTTTGAGCCTTTTGGGGGCCATTTGGGGCTATTTTGGGATCGTTTGGGGCCCAAAACCAGCCCAAAATAGCCCAAACCAACCCAAAATAGCCCAAACCAGCCCAAAATAGCCCCAAACTGACCCAAAATAGCCAAAACCACACCCAAATCAAAACCAGCCCAAAATAGCCCCAAACCAACCCAAAATAGCCCAAACCAGCCCAAAATAGCCCCAAACCAGCCCAAAATAGCCCCAAACCAGCCCAAAATAGCCCAAACCAGCCCAAAATAGCCCAAAAATGACCCAAAATAGCCCCAAACCAGCCCAAAATAGCCCAAACCAGCCCAAAATAGCCCAAACCAACCCAAAATAGCCCCAAACCAACCCAAAATAGCCCAAACCAACCCAAAATAGCCCCAAACCAACCCAAAATAGCCCCAAACCAACCCAAAATAGCCCCAAACCAACCCAAAATAGCCCAAACCAACCCAAAATAGCCCAAACCAGCCCAAAATAGCCCCAAACCGACCCAAAATAGCCCCAAACGGACCCAAAATAGCCCCAAACGGACCCAAAATAGCCCCAAACCAGCCCAAAATAGCCCCAAACCGACCCAAAATAGCCCCAAACCAGCCCAAAATAGCCCCAAACCAGCCCAAAATAGCCCCAAACCAACCCAAAATAGCCCCAAACCAACCCAAAATAGCCCAAACCAACCCAAAATAGCCCCAAACCAGCCCAAAATAGCCCCAAACCAGGATATTTTGGGGTGTTTTGAGTGGTTTTGATGTGTTTTTTGACATTTCTGGGGTGTTTTGAGTGGTTTTGGGCTGTTTTGGGGCTCTTTTGGGTCATTTGGGGCTGTTTTGGGCATTTCAGCTGGTTTGGGGGTGTTGTGGATCTCTTTTGGGGTGTTTTGAGTGGTTTTGGGGCTTTCCTGGGGTGTTTTGGGATGATTTAGGGTGGTTTTGGGGCTGTTTTGGGGTGGTTTGGGGCGTTTCTGGGGTGTTTTCAGTTTGTTTTGGGGTGTTTTGGGGGCGGTTTTGGGGTGCTTTGTGGCTGTTTTGGGTGTTTCAGCTGGTTTTGGTGTGTTGTGGATCTGTTTTGGGGTATTTTGAGTGGTTTTGGGCATTTCTGGGGTGTTTGGGGTGATTTTGGGTCTGTTTTGGGCGTTTCTGGTGTGTTTGGGGTCATTTTGGGTCTGTTTTGGGTGTTTCTGGGGTCTTTTGGGGTGATTTTGGGTCTGTTTTGGATGTTCTGGGGTGTTTTGGGTGATTTTGGGTCTGTTTTGGGTGTTTGTGGGGTGTTTGGGGTGATTTTGGGTTTGTTTTGGGTGTTTCTGGGGTGTTTTGGGGTGATTTTGGGTCTGTTTTGGGTGTTTCTGGGGTGTTTTGGGTGATTTTGGGTCTGTTTTGGGTGTTTCTGGGGTGTTTTGGGGTGATTTGGGTCTGTTTTGGGTGTTTCTGGGGTGTTTTGGGGTGATTTTGGGTCTGTTTTGGGTGTTTCTGGGGTGTTTTGGGGTGATTTCAGGCTGATTTTGGGTCTCTCTGTTCTGTTTCTGACCTCTTTTCCCCCCCCCCCCATTCCCATTCCCATCCCCCCCCCATCTCCCTGTCCCCCAAGCGCTGCCTCGCTCCCGCCCCCCCCCTCCTCCCCCATCCCCATCCCCGTTCCCATCCGGATGCGGCGGCTCCCAACGGGAACGGGGGAGGGGGGGGGGGGGGAGGGGTGGGGAGGGGGGGGGGGGGGTCCGGCAGCGGGGGGGGGGGGGAGCACCCCAACATCTGCGTGGAGTGCGGGAAGAGCTTCGCCAGGAGCGGGGCGCTGCGGGAGCACTGCAGGAGCCACGGGGGCGGGGCCAATGGGAATGAGGGCGGAGCCATTGGGAACGGGGGCGGAGCCATTGGGAATGGGACCGGATCCATTGGGAATGGGACCGGAGCCGTCGGGAATGGGACCGGAGCCATTGGGAATGGGACCGGAGGCATCGGGAATGGGACCGGAGCCATTGGGAATGGGACCGGAGGCATCGGGAATGGGACCGGAGCCATTGGGAATGGGACCGGAGGCATCGGGAATGGGACCGGAGCCATTGGGAATGGGACCGGAGGCATCGGGAATGGGACCGGAGCCAATGGGAATGGGACTGGAGGCGTCGGGAATGGGACCGGAGCCGTCGGGAATGGGGATGGAGGCATCGGGAATGGGACCGGAGCCATTGGGAATGGGACCGGAGGCATTGGGAATGGGACCGGAGCCATTGGGAATGGGACCGGAGCCATCGGGAATGGGACCGGAGCCATTGGGAATGGGACCGGAGGCATCGGGAATGGGACCGGAGCCATCGGGAATGGGGATGGAGGCATCGGGAATGGGACCAGAGCCAATGGGAATGGGACCGGATCCATTGGGAATGGGACCGGAGCCGTTGGGAATGGGACCGGAGGCATCGGGAATGGGACCGGATCCATGGGGAATGGGACCGGAGGCGTCGGGAATGGGACCGGATCCATTGGGAATGGGGCTGGATCCATTGGGAATGGGACCGGAGGCATCGGGAATGGGACCGGAGGCATCGGGAATGGGACCGGAGGCGTCGGGAATGGGACCGGATCCATTGGGAATGGGGCTGGATCCATTGGGAATGGGACCGGAGGCATCGGGAATGGGACCGGATCCATCGGGAATGGGACCAGAGCCGTCGGGAATGGAGCCCGGAGGAGCTGGAGCTGCCGGGAGTGCGGGAAAGGAGCGGAGGAGCGGAGCGGGAAGAGGAGGGAGAGCGGGGGTGGAGGTGGGGACATGGGGGGGGGGGGGTGGGATGGAAATGATGGGAATGGGGAGGGAATGGGGGGGTTGGGATGAGAATGGGATGGGGAAAATGGTTGGGATGGGAATGGGGTGGGAATGGGGGAATGAGGGAAATGGGGTGGGAATGGGAAAGGAATGGGATTGGAATGGGGGAAATGGTGTGGGAATGGGGAAATGAGGGAAATGGGGTTGGAATGGGGTGAGAATGGGATGGGTGTGGGATGGAAATGATGGGATTGGGTTGGGAATGGTGGGAATGGGGTGGGAATGATGGGAATGGGTTGGGAATGGGATGGAAATGATAGGATTGGGTTGGAAATGGCTGGGGAATGGGATGGGAATGATGGGATTGGGTTGGGACTGGTTTGGGAATGGTGGGAATAGGATGGAAATGATGGGAATGGGTCGGGAATCGTTTTTAAATGGTGGGAATTAGGTGGGAATGGTTTGGGAATGGGATGGAAATGATGGGATTGGGTTGGAAATGGGTTGGGAATGGGGTGGGAATAATGGGAATGGGTTGGGCATGGGATGGAAATGATGGGATTCGGTTGGGAATGGGATGGGAATGGTGGGAAAGGGGTGGGAGTGATGGGATTGGGTTGGGAATGGGCTGGGAATGACGGGAATGGGTCGGGCCCGGTCGGGACCCAGCAGTTCCCTGCGCTGTGCTCGCAGCTGCAGCCCCTCCCACCGGTGCCGTTGGCGCTGTCCCCGAGCCCGGTGCTGAACCCGGCCCCGCCCCCTTCCCCTGCATCGACTGCGGCCGCCCCCGACGGGCCCATGGAAACACCAAGGCAGCGATGGGAGCAATGGGGGCAATGGGGGCAATGGGAGCAATGGGAGCAATGGGAGCAATGGGGGCAATGGGGGCAATGGGAGCAATGGGAGCAATGGGAGCAATGGGGGCAATGGGGGCAATGGGGGCAATGGGAGCAATGGGAGCAATGGGAGCAATGGGAGCAATGGGGGCAATGGGAGCAATGGGAGCAATGGGAGCAATGGGAGCAATGGGGGCAATG